AGAAAGTTGTTGCATTGCCGATTTACAGTCCGGGAGAATTGCAGTTTATTGGGCGGGTCCATTCTTCAGTTTCGAAGAGCAGCAACAGTAACTGCACTGCTGCTCTCTCTACAAATGTTCAAGATACTAGGTTGTCCAAGTGACCAGACCATGCAGCTCCCATAGATGGCATTCAATATGTAGCCGCACAGCTATTATCGTCAATACTGATGAAACCAGCCGTACATACGTGAAGACAGTCGGAATTCTTCCTATCTAAGGGCGCGAGTACAGGCAGCGCGCTTCCATAGAAAGTGTTGTTCGCTTGGATTCCAGCCCTGGTATACTGAGGTCGCAAATAACATTGTGAAGCGTCCAAGGCGGGTCACTTTGTGGGCTTGTTTTGGTGGCTTTTAACATCTAGAATATCGAAGGTATTTAGCGCCACAGATAGATGAGATTGGTGCCTCGTTTTGAGTATTCTGATGAGCGTTTTTCGACTGAAGGACTCACTCAGTCGTAGGAGTTGGGTCAGCAGAGCTTGGTGTTCCAGAAGGCGTAGTGGGAGAGACTGGGCCTTGTGCACTACTTTTCTATTTGACGCTGCGATTGGAATTCCCAAAGACAAGCGGAGACCCTTCCGGTGTAGACGCTTCAATCATTGGTCTCAGGTAGACATATAAGCGGAATTTGATCGGCTGGTTACTATAGGGCACTATGCAATGCAAGCATAGACTTGGGGTGATTGCCCCAGCATACACCAACTGGCCTGACGGCCTGAAGTCGCTGTACTGATGCTTCCGAGAGGTAGTCCAATGCTTTCCTCCATGACAGTCTGTTGTCCAAAATCACTCCCAGCAAATGGGTGCTTATAGCCTTTCGTATCGGCTGGCTTTCCAAGTTCAGATTCAATCATGTGGCTTTTTGTTGTTGCCCAGGAAAGAGAACAAAAGATTATTTCTCAGCAGATATTGACAGACCGAGTGTTGACACGTAGTTTTGAACGGATGATATGGTTCTTTGGGCTACCGACTCTAGCCGTTTGTAGCTATATTCCAAGACCCAGATGCAGATGTCATCGGCACAAATGGACATTCTGAGTTGTACACGCCGACACCAAACTGCACCTGGAAGACCTGCCAAAGCAACATTCAATAATGGAGGAGAAAAGACGCAACCGTGCGGTGCACCGCGATAAATGATCCTCCCCTCACCAAGAGTGACCCCGAGGAGAATACAAATACTTTGGTCGCTGAGGAAGACACGTATGAAAAGCAGAGTATTCCCTGTTATTCCCATGCATTTCAGTTGTGCGATAATATACCTTTGTGAAACCTAGTCATAAAACTTGGAGATGTCCATGAGTACAGCTAGGGAGAAGTCGTCTTCTCGGTGATGATCAATATAACTTAGAAGGTCTAATATACTATCCCGAGCGCACAGTCGTTGTCTAAACCCAGTCATGCATATGGGCAGCTTCTTTTTCCGTGCCAAATACCAATTCGGACGGCTATGAACAGGTTTCTGCATGACCTTCGATACGCAGGATGTTAGGCAAACTGGGCGATACGAGGCCGAATCAGTAGCATCTTTCCTGGGCTTTAAAATAAGCACTATCCAGGCAACTTTCCAGATCACTCCAGTGCGTTAGAAAAGCTTGTTCTTGTTCACCTATTAACTGTGGCGCACACTCACTTCAAGCATGATTCTCCATCGTCGTCAGCCACTGCATGAAAAATTTTCACATGATTCCTTGCAAGTGTGTAGCGGATACCACGCTTCTTCGAAGAATCATGAAGGATAGCATAGTGATTGCCGGCCTACTACACCAAAATTATGATTATTTATGGCGTAGTCGGTACCCAGAAAGTGTGCTTGTAGCAGTTACCCAAAGAGTCTTTAGAAAAGGCTCGGAAAGGCTGCTCTTCTAACTTTCGCTGTGACTGTGTGACAGGACTGGTGGTTTATTTTTGCGGCGTATTACAAGAGACAGATAGCTTAAACAAATTAACTGCGAGAAAGAAAAAAAAAGAACGGGAAAAAGACACCGTTGGCCGTGAAATATTGAGAACTGATAAAGCAGAATTCTGAAATTCTTATGTGCTTCATATTACTACCTGTACTCAATAAAAGCCATCCGTTTCTCCAGTGCAACAATTGTTTTTTGAAAAATTCGGCCAGTATCCATTGGCTTTAGAAACGAATGATTTACTCCTGTAACGTCATTTGGAAAATCAGAGACGACGGAAAGGTCCGAAATTTCGCTTAATAGCCCGTAATAGACATCAGTCAATAACCCACATTAAAAGATGAACATGGTGCAACACAGAGCAGGTAAAATTGTAACACTCCTGTCCTGATGTTTCCTTGTTCGCTCTAACGAACACACGCACACTCATTCACTCACTCTCTCACTCATTCACTCAGCCACTCGTCCACTCACTCACCTCCTTATTCACTCACTCACCCACTCACTCTTTCACTCACCCACTCACTCACCCACTTATTCACTCACTCACTTATTTACTCACTCACTCACTCGCTCCCTCATTCACTCAGCCACTCGTCCACTCACTCACCTCCTTATTCACTCACTCACCCACTCACTCTTTCACTCACCCACTCACTCACCCACTTATTCACTCACTCACTTATTTACTCACTCACTTACTCACTCACCGATTCACTCCCCCGATCACTCGCTCGCCCACTCACCCACTCACTCACTCAGTGCGAAAAGTACACGTTCGTCCGCTGCGGAGGAGCAGTCAGTGGCTAGGGCGTTCGGCTGCGGACCCGAAGGTCGCAGGTTCGATTCCGACCGCGGCGGATGCATTTCGGAGGAGGCGAAATGCTGGAGTACCGTGTGCTGTGTGATTGCCAGTGCACGTTTAAGAACCCCAGATGCTCTGGATTTCCAGAGCACCCGGCTATACCTATCTCTCATAATCATATCGTAGTTTTGGGAACGTAAAAGCGTATGTTAGGTTAAATTTGCTTTCAACGATTGTCATAGTGAAAGCCTTGATTCAAGTTACGCTGGGTGACCTGTATATAGCTCTCCGTAGTTAGTGAGTTAGTTGAAGATGATGAATTCAAAAATATAGATTAAAAAATAATGTTAAATAAAAAATAAGAGACGATGCTAAGCAGAAACATTTGTTATGTTTCAACTTTTATTATGATTTAAGAAAAAACTGTTCAAGGTTTATTTTTTTGTCTCTTCACCTTGGTCTCATCATTTATAAAAGGAAACATTCAGACTAAGGAAATTAAGTTCTAACCTATAATAAAGCTTTTTTACCTCTATTCTGGTAACGTTCCCAATTTCCGGTTGAGTTCTAGTTCGCGGAGATATAGCGATATACTTTCTACTTTCCTTAAGTTCACTGCGTGTTTGATATCGTATTTGGACGAACATATGATGTTGTGGGCAGACGTGCGACACGGAGCCACCTTCCGGAACCTTCTTAAACTGCTTCTGTTTTACTGTAACTGCACCGCATTGCTGTTGAGTCTAGTGGCGAAGCTTCCTAGAACGGCTATGGAAAGTCACGGTTGTTTCTACTTCGTCGGGGTTAGGAATATTAAAAGCACAAATAAAGTTTGAACAAAGTATTACTAGGTTCATATTTCCCCCTTAGTTACGTATTATTTATTTTGCACACACAAAAGCATCGGCTTTTTCAGCGGATTCTGAAAGTCGTCAACCACGTTGTGCATTGATAGCGTTCGAGCCATGCGGGACAGCCGAAACAATTTTTTTTCGCACAGATCAGCAGTTATCTATGAATTAAGTGACTCAGTAGTTGATGTCTGCACAAGGCACAATAGAGTGAACTTAGGAAAAAAGAAATAAACCAAGGACAAAGGCAGCTTTTAACTATATTTACCTTACACCCAAGTACATATGCGAAATTAGTATCTTTTTTTTCTGTTGCTTTACACGATGTTTTCGTCACCATCCATCCCAAAAGCCAGCTATCCTGGCTTCTATAGCAACGTATTGGTGACAGTTTTCGGTGACAGTCAAGACGTGAAAAATGAACGCGCCAATTAACTAGTAATACACAATCCTCCCTCTTTTTTTTTTCTCGCATGAGATAATTTCAACAAGTGAAATGCGCAATAAGACATCCTACTGTAGACGTAATTACGCTAGGGGGTATGGCACGATGAAGAGAGAACATCTCTGGCGGGTCCACCCGAAATTCGACATTGAAAGTACTGTGGGAATGAAATTCATTAAGTGACTGCTTAAGCGTCCATCGTTATCGTATATTTGTACGAATGCTTTTCAGTGTGCATAAATTTTAATGTTGGTTCTAAATATCCGAGTTAGTTTTATTGTAAAGGCACAAAATGAATATTTGAGCTATATCGCTATAATTATTTTGCAATTTCAGAAAGTGTGCCATACCCAAACTTTCTTTCGCGGGGAATGGGGAGAGTCGCACAGCTCATTTCTATGTTGAAATAGGTAGTCAACGTGAGAGCATGCAAATACCGTAGTGTCCCAGGGACAGTCATGACAGGAAAAAATTTCGGGGATATTCAGAACCCCCCTAAGTTTCTCCTAGTTACGGCCCTAACTGCTGGCTATCTAAATTGCTACTCATACAGACGCACACACGCGCGAACGGTAATTCAAAAATACCCGCACCCGCATACATAAATTCAAATGTAGCAAAACGTGCGGCTGGCCATTTCGAAACCATCGCGTACACCCCACACCAAAGTTGAATTACGTTTGGATGATGCTTATGTTAGTTCCAGAATAAAGAATTCGCTGTATTCATAATTAAAGCAATTGTTTCTTCTATATTTGAAATGCGCACGTCAACCGGATGGTAAAGCAAACCAAATCTCCCGCCCAGTCATTGCGGCAAGCATGCTGAAAACCAAAAGCGAAACTGCTCTTGCTGCGTTGATTTGTGGCGCCATCTCGGAACAATTAAGAAAAGCAAATGTGTCACGTGTTCTAGCGGGGCTCTCTGGGAAATGTCATTGCCAGGAGCCATTAGAGACCGCATCGGCAGCTCCTAGCAGGATGTCTCGGTAGTATCGGTCGATCTTTTGCCCCTGTGTCCGCGCGATTTCCTGTGTGTTTTGGTGCGGAGCCGCTTTAGCGAAGCCAAGATGTCTGGGATAGCGTCGGGACTCACGACAAAGGGCAGCAGCCGACTGAAAAAGAAGCACTTCAAGCCTAAACATCAGAAGGCAAAACTCTTCCGAGCCAACGAGCCGCTGCTCAGTGTTTTTATGTGGGGTGTCAACCACACCGTGAGTACCGTCGCAGTTCTGCCGCGCCTCCTTTTGATTTCGCGTCGCTTTCTACGAAGCCGGTTTCTTCCGTCGTGCAGACTTGCTGTGTTCTCGCTGTAACGCTCTCCTCGATGCCGGTTCATATTTTGTATGTAGTATTTTACTTTTCCGGGGCGTCAGGCAGCTTCGGATCGACTTTCTTTTTTCCTCAGCGAAGACAACCTGCGTCTTTAGGCTTAGATTTTTTTACCGAAACAGCACTTGCGTGCGGATTAGGGACAGTTCTGAGCCAGGCACACCCCTCATTACGTTTTCCCTTGACCGCGGTGCCGCTAAACGAGTGGTAGCACACCCCGAAGTGCACCGCCCGCTCGCCAGTCCTGACGTAGTACGCCCTTGCTGCAGGCACCCCTGCGATCGCAGTTCCCTGCGATGCTGTAGTGTAGCGGACCCGGTTTTCGAGTCTCCGCTGCTTCGCTTGAAGGCGATGCGCATGTAAGGTGAAAGGGCGATTACTTAGCATTGAAGAAGACGCCACTCATCAGATCTCGTCAGGTCGTCGTGCTGTACAGATCAACTATCGCCTATCGCTGCTATTGATCGCTCGAGTGTGACTATCTGGCGGCACATCGGTCGCGCTTGTGCGAAGTCGGGCGAAGCGGTGCCGAAAGCACCTGCCAGGTTTCTCGCTTCATTTGTTTCAGCGAAATTTTGTGCACGATCCAATTTTCTTTCCCGTCTGATGTGGCCCATTTGATGACCTCCACAGCAGACCGTCTTGTGTACGTGTGTTGCGCGTCGTCCGATATCATGCGTAGGAAAGTCGGGGAGCAGTGTTGCGTGAAGTTTTCGCTTATGACTCTCTTACCTCTGCCGAACGATGCAAGTACTTGAACGAAGCAGGCGCTCCGCCTAGGCCGCAGGAAGTGGTTCATTTGTTATTAAGGGTTAAATTAAAACAAATTGATCAAATTTGTTGATGTTTGTTAGGCGGTCGTGGGTTCGATTCGCGTTGGTTTCCGAAACCACGTGCTTTAAACTTTTGCAATAATCGCGATCCCGTCTTTTTGCTTATATGCGTGGGGCACTGGCCCAATACTACTGTTATAATACAATGTTCCGCCACCCCCACCTCCTCTACACTGCGGGTGTTATTTTGGAGGCGCTGCAGACCTGATTGGCAATTATTTCCTGGTTGTTTATTTCGCTAGTGTGTGGCTTTACGGGTTTCTAATGTGAATGCTCAGGCACGTCTCTACATGACCTTCATTTTAGTGATTGCCCTGAGGTACCACACGGGGCTTAAATAATATGAAGCTCAGACTTTCAGTGTGGTGTAGTGGTTACTGCGTCGGGCTCGCCATGGGCATTGCTTGTAAAGAAATATAAAGCTGTGTCCAGAAACCGGGGCACGCCCCCCCCCCCCCCCTCCCGCTTCCCCACATTCTCGTACCACTTTGCCGAAATCCTAAACATCCCCTATTACAGCTCAATTTATTCCAGGCATGTAGTACACTGCTTGGCAGACCCTTGCGTACACAAGTTTCAAGTTTTATTAGCAATGATTAATTCCCGCGCAATGAAAGACGCTCTATATCCCCCTCCCCCACACCTCCTCTTCCTATGTCTGTAGGATTTAGCTGCACTATATAGTTCTTTCTCATTTTCGTTATGGTTGAATGAGTGTGAAGCCCGGATTTCCAGTGGAAATCGAATTGAATTTGCAGTTTGATTCGCATTTTAATTCTGAACTACCTGATCGAGCTCCGAGTATCTTATCACTTTTGAATGATGTATGTACAAGAGCAGTTTAGTTCAGATGCAGCAATTGTGGCGGGGCTGTGAAAGTAACAAGAAGAAAAATGCCCCAGCCAGCACCACATGGTTGTTCGCAGGTACAGAAAGATTATCGTATAAGTGATTTCTCTTTCTAATAATTTTGTTGAAGAAGAACCGCAGTAGTTTCGACGAATGCACGGAAATCACCGCCTGTAATCATGGTTTCGAGTTATTCAACGATCTTGTCTGGGCTGGTACCAGAAAACTTACAATTTTTGATAACCCCTACATATCTTAGATTCTGTGTAAATGATACGTGGTGGTTCAGACTTCACTTCATTCCTCCGACGAACATACATTTGCTGTTGGCAACAAATATACCAAATACTGTAATTATTTGACCCACACTTCCCGGAACAGTTACCATTCATTGTTCTCGAGATTCAAAGTACACGGTTGCGTATATCCAAGTCGTTTTTCTCGGACATCCCTTCTCGTTTCAGAAATTTCGGTATTGAGACACCCTTTGCGAGACATATTTATTATGACTTCTGATTGCGTCTTTTTTTTTCAAGTTTGAAGTATTTTCTTTCCACACCGGGATGAGCACGATATTCTAATCGACTATGGGTAGGGGCGCTCGGTTTTTGCGGGCACTTGAAAATTCGCATCTACACACACAAAGAAAAAGAAAGACAGAAAGATATTTATGTTATAAACAGCAAGAACTCGGGAAACGATTATTTCTGTTCAGTTGCACTCCCTAATCAAAATGTTGGGCGCAGCGTGCCTGATTAGGGCTGCCCAATTTGCATCCTTAATTGCGCTACTTCAAGGCCACTTCGGAATGTTTGTTGCCTCCGTGTGTGTTTCACTAATTAATGTAGCGCCGAGTGAAAGAGCCCGCGGAACGAACGTGCTATTTGTCCACAAACACACCATTCGCAATTGAGCAAGGGAAAGCGCAAGTGAGGTATATTTCGCATTATATCCTAGGAAGAAGAATAATTGAAGTTAATTTCCCACTTTCTTTACACTTGTTAATAGGTTTTCATGTAACGATCTCACTTTCGTCGCCGGGTTACTTTTCTCATTTATGAAACTTTAAATACAAGATTTTCTGTTTATTAGATATTAAAGCATTAACGATTCACGCGCCAGTTCACGTCGCATGCTAAGTTTGATATTAACGAGGCAACTCAAGATAACTGAGGAAGACTAAATAACCAAAGACCAGGGCTGATGGTACGTCCTAACCCGCCCCCGATAAGCGGCTCCATTCATTATCCATCACAGAGCGAATATCTCTCGCAATAAAATAATGAATGCATCAGGAAAGCGGCCTTAAGCACATGCTTAACATAACATATTACTTTCGCCTGTCGTGGTCGTCTGGTTTTTTTTTTGTTTTTTTTTTCTAGACCCTCGTGGGCTTGCTCTACAAAACGCTGAAGAGACAAACCAAAAAAAAAAAAAAAAAAACGTTGGCTGCGAAGGTCGTAAGGTTTCTGGAATGAGGAAGCTTCCAACGCAGAGTACAACCGGGGCTTTGTCCCGGTGCATTGTTTCAAAAATACTCGCTTATTCCCATTTTGGCACGTGAAAGTATCCGTAGTATGCTTGGTATCCTCGGCTCGCACAAAAGGCGAATACAGCGAAAGAGCTAGCACGCTGTCGTAATGGGCGTCGGCGAGGGGGTGCGAAAGGGGCACTTGCCGCCCTCAAAAGTGTGGCAGCTTGGGCTAGTTGGTATGGCATGACGATAGTTATAGCGCGAGAACACAACGACGACACAGAGACAAGAAGGACACGAGCGCTCGTGTCTTTCGTGTCCTTCTTGTCTCTGTGTCGTCGTTTTGTTCTTGCGCTATAACTATCGCCGCCCTCAAGCCTCACCAGCGCTATATCCCTCACCCAAGCTGCACAAGTGCTCTAACCTCTCCCCCCACCCCAGCACGATGCAAGAGTAGTTTGCACCACCCAAGAGAAAGTCCTGCCGATGACCATGACTGTCATGGTCTTTTGTTAGCGGTCACGATGTCAAGCAACTCAAGTTGTGATGATCTGGAGGAGACAGTAAACTTTGCGAAACGTAGATTTTTTACGCGTTTGGCGTCCAGGTGCCCTTCATTTGAACTTGTGGAATTCGGAAAGGGGGGTTGCGGTTACCGTTCACATCGGTACGGAAGAATAACGAAGGGTGCTTACTTTCTTTTGACCGCAAATCGCACGAAATCTGTTTGTGGTTATCTAACATGTGGCTTAACCATAGCTTGGGATTACTCATGTATGTTATCCTTAGAAACGTATTCGGTTATAAATTAAATGGCTGCTCTGCCGCGGTGGTCTAGTGGCAAAGGTAGTCGGCTGCTGACCCGCAGGTTGCGGCATCGAATCCCGGATGCGGCGGCTGCATTTTCGGTGGAGTCGAAAATGCTGTAGGCGCGTTTAGGCCCGGGTGCATGTTAAAGAACCCCAGGTGGGCGGACCTTCCGGAGCCCTCCACTACGTCGTCTCATAATTACGTGGTGGTTTCGGGACGTTAAAGCCCACATTTCAATCAATCTAATAATAAAGTTGCATGACAAACATGACATTTCTGACTTAGCCCGCGCCTCCACCACATATGAGGCCCTGGTTCGGACGACCGTTATTTGGCCCGAGAACCCGACGGCCAACAGCTACAGTAAACCCAGAATCGTGATGCTCATGCACGATAACGATGAGGATGTACAACTAACGTATTATGGTGATGATAATACACAGATGACGAAGATGAGTGTAATAAATACCAGCAGTATACAGTGTGCTTCGTTTTCAACGGAGTTCTGGACTTCTTTGACTTAGCGGAAACGCGACAGTGTTTCAGAGCTTCTTCAATGATTGTGGTGGTCCGCCGCTGTTGTATCACGGCCGCGGCGGTCTCATTTAGGTGGAGGTGAAGTGGTCTAAATTTCCCCACTACAGCCGATTGGCGCAACGAAAGTGTTGCACACCTTGGCAAGGCCTCGATGTCTTACGCGAGTTTTATTTCGTTCGGCGTGATTTATGTCAAGGACTTACGACGACAGTTTGTCAGTGCGTGTCTGAGTGCGTGTGCAGTGTCGTTGCAGGGCCGTGGCGAAACGGGTCTTCTTCCTCGCCTACTCGCTTTCTTTACCACCGGGCAACCGCGCTGCCGCCTCGTCCTTGCGCGTTGCTGCCGGAAGAAAGCGCGCGAAGCGACTGTGACCGCGAAA